GTCTCATTGATCTTCTCATATGTGACTTATTGATTGTCTCATTGATCTTCTCATATGTGACTTATTGTTCGTCTCATTGATCTTCTCATATCTGACATATTGGTTGTGTCTCAGTGATCTTCTCATATGTAACTTATTGATTGTCTCATTGATCTTCTCATATGTGACTTATTGATTGTCTCATTGATCTTCTCATATGTGATTTATTGGTTCTTTCTCATTGATCTTCTCATATGTGACTTATTGATTGTCTCATTGATCTTCTCATATGTGACTTATTGGTTCTGTCTCATTGATCTTCTCATATGTGACTTATTGATTGTGTCTCATTGATTTTCTCATATCTGAATTATTGGTTGTGTCTAATTAATCTTCTCATATCCGACTTATTGTTTCGGTCTAAATAATCTTCTCCTATCTGATTCATTGATTGGGTCTAATTAATCTTCTCATATCCGACTTATTGTTTCGGTCTAAATAATCTTCTCCTATCGGACTCATTGATTGGGTCTAATTAATCTTCTCATATCCGACTTATTGTTTCGGTCTAAATAATCTTCTCCTATCTGACTCATTGATTGGGTCTAATTAATCTTCTCATATCCGACTTATTGTTTCGGTCTAAATAATCTTCTCCTATCTGACTCATTGATTGGGTCTAATTAATCTTCTTATATCTAACTTAATGTTTATGTCTCGTTAATATTCTAAACTATTAGCAGACATACTGGTTGAAAAGCTTTAAAGTAAAAGTGCTATGGAAAAATACTTTTCCACATTTTCTGTTGGGTGCCATCATTTATCATTCCGTTATGATCACAGTAGTTTGTCTGTTAACCTGAATAGTATTGGGGGAGGGTGGAAGGAGAAGGGAGAAAAAACGAACGAAAAATGATACAAAACTTGCATTTGTACGCAAGCTAAAAATGGACCTATTCTGTTAATTATTTTAAAATGCATTAATCACAAGCAGGCAAAGATCGATTTCTTATCAGTTTTTTTTGGTTATATTATATCTCTCACAAGGTGTAATAAAAAAAAAATCTAAGATCATTTTTCAAGGAAAACAGTTGACATTTTTAATAGATTCATTGGATGACTAAGCTAAGGTAATGGTGGCTCATGGGAATTCTGTCCCTAGTTTATTCTGGCTCCAGGTAATGCTGAGTCCAGTTAATTTTGTCCCTAGTTTATTCTGGCTCCAGGTAATGCTGAGTCCAGTTAATTTTGTCCCTAGTTTATTCTAGCTCCAGGTAATGCTGAGTCCAGTTAATTTTGTCCCTAGTTTATTCTGGCTCCAGGTAATGCTGAGTCCAGTTAATTTTGTCCCTAGTTTATTCTGGCTCCAGGTAATGCTGAGTCCAGTTAATTTTGTCCCTAGTTTATTCTGGCTCCAGGTAATGCTGAGTCCAGTTAATTTTGTCCCTAGTTTATTCTGGCTCCAGGTAATGCTGAGTCCAGTTAATTTTGTCCTTAGTTTATGCTGGCTCCAGGTAATGCTGAGTCCAGTTAATTTTGTCCTTAGTTTATTCTGGCTCCAGGTAATGCTGAGTCCAGTTAATTTTGTCCCTAGTTTATTCTGGCTCCAGGTAATGCTGAGTCCAGTTAATTGTGTCCCTAGTTTATTCTGGCTCCAGGTAATGCTGAGTCCAGTTAATTTTGTCCCTAGTTTATGCTGGCTCCAGGTAATGCTGAGTCCAGTTAATTTTGTCCCTAGTTTATGCTGGCTCCAGGTAATGCTGAGTCCAGTTAATTTTGTCCCTAGTTTATGCTGGCTCCAGGTAATGCTGAGTCCAGTTAATTTTGTCCCTAGTTTATGCTGGCTCCAGGTAATGCTGAGTCCAGTTAATTTTGTCCCTAGTTTATGCTGGCTCCAGGTAATGCTGAGTCCAGTTAATTTTGTCCCTAGTTTATGCTGGCTCCAGGTAATGCTGAGTCCAGTTAATTTTGTCCCTAGTTTATTCTGGCTCCAGGTAATGCTGAGTCCAGTTAATTTTGTCCCTAGTTTATGCTGGCTCCAGGTAATGTTAATTTTATCCCTAGTTAATGCTGGTGCTAGGTAATGCTCACTCCAGTCAATTCTGTCCTTAGTTAATGCTGGTTCTAAGTAATGCTGAGTCCAGTTGATTCTGTCCCTAGTTAACAATGGTTCTAGGTAATGTTGCATTCAAATTATGATAGTTCAAAGCAATATTGAATCACGGTTATTCCTGAACCACTTAATGATGACTCCACGCCCGACGCTACACCAGGCTTCGCAACTTGACGCAGATCAAATCTTCCAGCCCTTGACCAAAACCCGGTAGAAGCGGACAGAGGTAGTATAATATTTATTGACATTGACAGCATCATGCATTAGGCATACGCTATAGGTTTTATCAAAGGTTTAAGCCGTCTCCCAGTACCCCTGTATTACTATGTGGTCCGACTGCATGACTTCGTAGTAGAGTATTAATTAAATATTTTAAGTGTAAGACTGCACACTAATTTATCGAGCGCTGTAAGGCACCTTGATTCTGTTGTTGTAACCTTAGGAAAATATTCAAGAAATATAAGCGCAACTTTTAAATTCCTACTAATTATTCAATTGTTTAACTTTTGGAATTACTATGTTTAAAAAAAAAGTAGTGTTTTCTGTCATCTGTAGCATTTTGTAGCATGTTCCGTCTTTAACAAGTATGTTTCTTATTCAATGACAGGTGTTCGCCTACACGAATCGATTAATTGTAGCGCATTAAAAAAAAATAGAGCTCAATATATTTTCAAAAGCCTCTGATATCAAGAAACATCTTGCAATGGAGATAACTCATCAAGCATCAGTTCATCGAGTAAATTTTTAAGAGGGCCAACTGAGTCCATTGGAGACGGTCAACTGTGTTCATTGGGGGGGGGTCAACTGTTTTCATTGGGGAGGGCCAACTGAGTCTATTGGAGAGGGCCAACTGAGTCTATTGGAGAGGGCAAACTGAATCTATTGGGGAGGGCCAACTGAGTCCATAGCAGAGGACCAACTTAATCTATTGAAGAGGACCAACTGAGTCCATAGCAGAGGGCCAACTGAGTCTATTAGAGAGGGCCAACGTAGTCCATAGCAGAGGGCCAACTGAGTCCATTGCAGAGGGTCAACCGAGTCTATTGGAAAGGGCCAACGTATTCCATAGCAGAGGGCCAACTGAGTCCATATTGGAGTGCAAAAACCGATTCTATTGGAGACGGCTAACGTACTCCATAGCAGAGCGCCAACTGAGTCCTTAGCCGAGGGCCAACCGAGTCTATTTGAGAGGGCCAACGTAGTCCATAGCAGAGGGCCAACTGAGTCCATAGTGGAGGGCCAACTGAGTCTAACATCACATCCACTCATCTAAACATCGTACCTACTCATACTAACATCATACCTGCTAGTCATAAAAATCAGGCCTACTCATCCTAACACCAAAACCCACTCATCTTAACATCTTATCACCCCATCTTATCGCCATGCCCATTGACCCTAACATCATACCCACTCATCTAAACATCATACCCTCTCATCTAAACATCGTACCCACTCATCCTCACATCCCACCTACTCCTACTAACATCATAACTGCTCGTCATAAAATCATACCCACTCATCATACCCAAAAACCTCATACGAACTCACCCAAACATCATACCCACCTATCCTAACATCATACCTACTCTTCCTAACATCCCACCAACTCATCCTAACAGCGTATCAATTCATCCTAAAATCATACCGACTCATTCTAAAATTCCACTTCCATCCAAGAACACATGCTTTCCCTACAGACCTCGCAATAATAAACACTTCTCTACAGACCTCGCAATAATAAACACTTCCCTACAGACCTCGCAATAATAAACACTTCTCTACAGACCTCGCAATAATAAACACTTCCCTACAGACCTCGCAATAATAAACACTTCCCTACAGACCTCGCAATAATAAACACTTCCCTACAGACCTCGCAATAATAAACATTTCTCTACAGACCTCGCAATAATAAACACTTCTCTACAGACCTCGCAAGAACACATACTTTCCCATAGACCTATCACTCAAATGTTCTTTCCCATAGACCTATCACTCAAATGTTCTTTCCCATAGACCTATCACTCAAATGTTCTTTCCCATAGACCTATCACTCAAATGTTTAAAACCCCCCAAAATGTGACAATGAAAGCATATCTCCCATGGTCAAACTACTGTCGCCACACATCGTGTCCCTTCTTTAAACCCGGTTTTACACAATGGTTTCTTTTGTCGCGACGTCCGCATTCAAAAAACCATCCGAAACTTCAGACTCTACGTCCATTTTCATCATTTCCTGGCTACGTTTCGGAAACTAATAATTTGGCTGGAATGATATTGTACTCCTTGGAGATTCTTTCAGTGCAACCCCTGCTTACGACTTTGGTAGCAAATTGTATATATATATAAAAAAAAGTGTAATTTCCATTTGGGTAAATCAGCTTCGTGTAAAGTCGGGATCTAGACATTTCCTATACATAATACTCACGGCTGATCGCTGTTTTTCTTGAGGATAGCCAGCCACCACATAAACATCTGAAGCTGGAGTCAACCGATGGCGGTATGATTTTGTACTCCATGGGAGTTCTTGTATTCCTAGACATAATACATAGCATCGCTGTTTTGCTAGCGAGATTACATTGCGGTATCCTAGCAACGGACGGATTGCCACAAATAGGTTTTAAACAAATTACATTATTACTTGGTATTTTGTGATGTGTGGAGGAAAAAAAAAGTGTGGGGGGGGGGATTTTCTCACATGAAAATTTGAGCTTTTAAAACTAAATTTTAAGTCTTATCTCTTCGTCTTATTCTATTAAACCGTCAACATGATTCTTCCTGTTCCAAGAACAAACACAAAACAAAAACTACAACCAGTGAACATGACTGTTTATTATTCGAAGTTCTAAGGCGTCCATTTCAACAGTGAAACAGCCAAACTAATTAAAAAGTCCAAAACCTCAACCAGAGACACGATGCTGCCACCTATTAATAGTCCCATGGAGCCTCCAATATCGCCTGAAATGGACGTCATAAAGTTACTTAATTTGAGGTAGTCTATTTACATCATTTACTTGATGTGTATTATATGTGTATTTTTTTTTCTTTTTATGAGTTAGGGGTAGTAATGTCAATGATGATCCCCCGCGCCTCCCCCCCCCCACCCCAGGCGCCACACAATATAGCTTACTCAGGCTGATATTTACAAATTGTAATAAATAGTTGTTTTGAAAAAGCATGGAAAAAGAAACAGCATTTTAATTAGGTCTAAGTGGAAGGAAGNGGGTAGTAATGTCAATGATGATCCCCCACGCCTCCCCCCCCCCACCCCAGGCGCCACACAATATAGCTTACTCAGGCTGATATTTACAAATTGTAATAAATAGTTGTTTTGAAAAAGCATGGAAAAAGAAACAGCATTTTAATTAGGTCTAAGTGGAAGGAAGTAGTGGGGCAGGACGCAGACCTGCATGGGCCGTAGCGTGCTATGCATGGATGGATGATGCATTGACATGTCTGAATTAATGGCGGTTGTATAAACAGCGTCCTAAGTACATGACGCGTTATCAAAATGACACTTTCAACGAAAATGTAGTATTAGTATGTGGCCAAAATAACACTGCTAAAACTATTTTGTCATCTGTGCATGGTGACTGTGATTATTTCAGCAATCCCCCCCCACACGCCCCCACACGGGGGGGGGGGCACTTAAATTTTTTTTTGGGGGGGGGGCAGTGCCAGGTGATTTATTGTTGGACATATTTTTTTTCGGGAAGGGGTGCACTTGTCTTTCCTCGGGGGTGGGGGCGGTGGGAGGGGGGGGGGGGGGTGCAGTTGTTGCAGGCGGAAAACGTAATCAAAACTTAGCATTAGTTTATCTAAATATTTTCTCTGGAATTGTTCTTGCCAACTTATTCCTAACGTGGTCGCCCTATCCGCTCACTTAATAACTGAACGTGTTAAGAAAACAAATCATCCTTAACCATTAATAGTATTATTTTTTTTCGTAAAGAGACAAGAACAATTGCCTTCATATACATTTCACTTCTGGGAACATGGTGACAAGAGCTGTTCAATGTTGACTCATCACGTTGCGCGTCGTTTCAGTACTTTAAACAGTACTGCAGTTTTTGGCCACCTCTAAATACACGGTGGCCTATGATTTGCATGACAACATTATGTAAATACTATCTTTATGTACCTTTAAAAAAAATGTATATATCTATATAAAACATGTGGATGTGCAATATTAAAAATAAACAAAAGCCTTTTTTTGCTTTGTTTGCAAAATCATTAAATATTTAAACAGAAGAAACGTTTTATTTTTTTACATAATGTTAGAAGACACATCTTTCATAATATTTAACTTTATACCCCCTAAAATTTGTTTTTTTCAACTCACCAATTAAGTCTAAAATGTCATAAGCCACTTGTTGCTCTGTTATCGTGTAGCTGATTTCCGGGAAGAAGATGTTGAGAAAGAGGAAGTTTTCACTGGAGATAGAGGACAATTTCGACAAATGAGTCGTCAATGTTTATAATTTCACTTCCTAGAGGAGACAGAGAGAACTACATAGAAACTGAGAGAGCTACACAGAGGCTTTGAGAACTACACAGAGACTTAGAGAACTACATAGTGGCTGAAAGAGCTATAAAGAGACAGAGAGAACTGCATAGAGACTGAAAGTACTACATAGCGACTTAAAGAATTACACAGAGACTGAGATAACTACACAGATACTGAGAAAAATACATAGAGACTTAGTGAACCCCACATAAACTGAGAGAAATCCATAGAGACTTAGAGAATTACACAGAGACTGAGACAACTACATAGATACTGAAAGAACTACAAAGAGACTGAGAGAACTACAAGGAGACTTAGTGAAATACACAAACTGAGAGAACTCCATAGAGACTGACAGAACTCCATAGAGACTGACAGAACTCCATAGAGACTGAGAGAACTCCAGAGAGACTGAAAGAACTCCATAGAGACTGAGAGAACTACCTAAAGACTGAGAACGCATTATAGAGACTAAGAGATTTGAAAACAGACAGGCATCCACAACTATCATTAGCCGATTTTTTTTTTAAGGAAAGGAAATTATTACTTTTTTTTGTCTATAACTTGGCGAAAAGTACATCTGCTTTTTATTGTTTTGAGATTAACACAATTTTTCTACAAAGAAAACACTCAAGGCTGTTACAGACTTGAAAAAACGCTTTAGAGATTCTACTTTACATAAAATATTATTTTTTTGACGATTTTCCGAATACATAGTAGAAAACAAATGAAAAGTTTGGCAATATTATAAATGAAGTGTCTGTATATCAGATGCCTTCAATATAAAATATATTTAAAATGCTATTTACAGTTTACAGTTTTTGTTTTAAATTAAGATTTAAATTTTCACAATTTTTGGGGGAACAGAATTTAGCTTAGGGAAAGAAAATGTGGCAGGCCAGGCCCAGCATCGAATCATTTAAAAACACAAGACATTTGAAGTTTTCTCTAGCGTAGGAATCAGGCGTCGATGATTTCATTTAGTGACAATAACGATTTAATTATTGATCATTTAGATTTGGTAATTTAAAGTCGTGTTTAGAGAGGAAAAAAAATAGCTTAAGGGCCTGAAAAAAAAGGTATGGTTGGCGTATAATATATATAGCAGAAACATATTTTTAAAAACTTTTAATGATGTTAGAAACGTAAACATTATTTTACAGATTCTTCTTTAAAAAAACACAACAACAGAATTGTAATAAGTTTCCACAATAGCAGGTGGAAATTATTGCATAGTGCCTGCCATTATTATCTCGATAATATCGGGTGTTATTTTCTAGTTATAAAATAATAAGATTACTTGATTGTATTTGCACATGACATTGATTCATTTTAATTTGTTTGACAGTATACGATGACCAGTTGCTTTGGCGAATTCAAGTTCGCTAGCTCTCCCACAGGTTTACTTTCTTGCAACTGCATCAATCAGAAACTACGGAAAATCAATACTATCTCTTATATATATAATTTTTGCTTGTCGTTTGAAGCTTTAATTTCCGGATGGCGCGCAAAAAATGTAATAACCACGCTGAATGGGAGGTTGACGCATTGCTGTCGCCAATGTTTGGCGAGCTAAAAGTAGTGAATACTATTTTAATTGGTGAAAGAGATTCGGGTGTGAGATTGAAACATTTATGGGACACAGAATACTAGCAATACAAGGCATTCCAATAACGTTAGACATCTCCTGTGGTATAATGGTTCTGCGTCGATTTTCAAAACAGGTTATAAGTACAACTGTAAAGCTCTAAACCGTTTAAAATATATATTATATTTACCTGTAGAAAGTTACATCAATGGTCGTCTTGTTAGAAAATTGATTCGCGTCTAGTTGAATGTCCTTTGCTAGTGCCAGGTGCTCTGTGCATAGAGTCCTCATTCCCTTTAACGCGTCAAGATCATTTATTGACTGCAACGTCTCATTTAAAAGAGAATCCCTGTGTTTCTTGGTAATTTGAAAAATGTCTCCGTTCTGCTCGAAGGCACGCGATATCTCATCACTTTCAAAAATTCCTGAATAAAAGTCCTCATAACATCGGACCATTTCTGTTCCATACTTGAGATAATTGTCCGCTTTTGAAGATATCGACATTTTCATTTCTTCCATCCAGCCGTGCACCTCTTGGATGCTCCGGTCATTAAACATCTCAGCAATTTGAAACTTGGAGACGTTGAAATGCATCAAGTACATGTTCAGGGCCGGAACGATCTTTAAGTAATTCCTTGAGTGAACGCCCAGCTCGTCTATTCCCCGAATTGCCATCCGCAGTTCATTCGAAAAGGGATTCAACTTTTTTGCGCACCCTTCATTCATGTCAGCTATCTTATTTCGACGGTTCTTCAGTTGACCAGACGGCCATTGTAAAATGTCTTTTTTGAAATTGTCGTGCTCGATTAAGTAGTTTATGCACGCATTGGAGTAGAGGTACAGCCCGTTCTGGTACGAGAGTAAGAAATGGAAGAAATACTTGATAAAAACTTTTTAAAAAAAAGATCACGTCATGGGTAATGTCAAGTGTCACTTCGGCATCCTTACGGGCGCGTCGAGAAATTATCAACATTTCTGGACACCCCCCAATACACGAACTTACCCGTGGCACCCTAATACAAGAGCTGTATTCCGGTTTCCAGTCAACGTGATCAGAGGCGAAAGTTAGTGGACATGGTGCAAACTGATAACTCGCTTAGTCGTAGCTGTTTGCAGCGGCCTCACTACAAATGGTTACTAACTACAGTGCTCTCAAAAGAAAAAAATAAGCTTTAATTTCTGGGACACATCTGTGCAACAATAAACCAATGCATGTTACGTGCGGTGGTAAAAAACTGAAGTAATGTTCAGTTTATAGACACACCATGTATCACTAGTCCACATGTCTGTATGTTCGCTTTATAGACCCACCGCGTATCACCTGTCTACATGTCTATTGCTATATTCACTATATCTCGGTAGTTTCTTGTCTTGTCTGCTGAAGAAGGCTTTTATTCCTTCATACCAGGCCTGCACAACTTACGGCCTGCGGGCCACATTGCGGCCTGCCAGTACCCACTTTATGGCCTGCCAAGTAACGAAATATTCTTTATTATTTTTATTTTATTAACATTTTTCGCCCCCGTCATATTATCTTTCGGCCCGCACAAGTTTTTCATAAAGTATTACAACCAGCACAAGGTTTTCATAAAGTATTACGGTTGACCTTACATTTTGAGTTGTGCAGGCCTGCTTTATACTATCAGACATGGCTGTCGAGCCTAAAAACACATCGTACTAAAGTGTTGGCGCTGTGCTTAACCACAGACTCTTTCCCTTGCCTTCCCTCTCTGTGGCATTAATGGACGTTCAACGATTCAGGGCCACTGCGACTAGCACTAATATACATCAATCGAAGGATTCCTCCGAGCGTCTGGTCAAGTATTCTGGTAGATTCAGGCGCGAAACCTCTTGGCGTCTAAGCATTATGTAATTAATTAAGTGGGGCCCACAAGCTCGATTCCTCTCGATTTGTCGCCGGTCAGTTTATGTCCAGTATAATTTACCTTAAAGCCCAGATTGTTGTCAATTCCTTGGTGACTGTTACACAACCATAACGTTAATCCCTTGCGTAGCAACAATAGCCACATTATTGAGCGTTTATTTTAGGTACGAACAATTTTTTTTCTTGTTGACAAATGGATTTGATAAAGATCTCTGACTGCTATATTACAAGTGACTCTTCCATAAAAACTTAAAACTGTAGCTATAAATAATTTTCCCTTATTTGTAAAAAAAAAAAAAATGTATGGGAATGTTAATCAATCTTTTAAAATGCGCAAACAATTTCTGGAATATAATTACAAAAAATGCAATACCATCGCACTGTTATGCTGGCTCTCTGTGGGATAACCCAAACAAATGGTCCTGGAAATGTGATAACTAGTGATTGTTACTGAGAATAAGCTAACGAAAGATTGATCCTGATCATGGACTAGTTAAGTAACAGTCCTGAGACTGTGCTAGCTAAGTTTAAGTCCTGAGAAAGCGCTAGCTAGGTTGAAGTCCCGAGAATGTGCTAGGGTAAAAAAAAATGCCCTTTCCTTCATCGAGAATAAATTAAGGTAGAAATTTGATGAATTATTAAACTAAAACTTAATTCTTTACATAAACAGTAAACTTTGAGCTGTACATTTAGTGATTCGTATTTAAGCAATCTATTGCGCTGCGGTTGATGCTCTTGCATTGGGGGAGCCACGGGTAAATGCTTATATTGGGGGTGCCACGGGTAAGTGCTTATATTGGGGGTGCCACGGGTAAGCTCATGTATTGGGGGTGTCACGGGTAAGTGCTTATATTGAGGGGTATCACGGGTAAGCTCATGTATTGGGGTGTCACGGGTAAGCTCTTATATTGGGGAGGAACGGGTAAGCTCTTATATTTGGGGTGCCACGAGTAAGCTCTTATATTGGGGTGTCACGGGTAAGATTTTTTATATTGGGGGTGTCACGGGTAAGCTATTGTATTAGGGTGTCACGGGTAAGCTCTTATATCGGGGGAGTCTCGGATAAGCTCTAAAATTGGGGGAGTCTCGGGTAAGCTCTTATATTGTGATGTCACGGGTAACCTCTTATTTAGGGAGTGCCACGGGTAAGGTCTTATAATGGGGTTTCACGGTTAAGTTCTTATATTGGGGTGTAACGGGCCATCTCTTGCATTGGGGGAGTCTCGGGTAAGCTCTTATATTGGGAGTGTCCCGGGTAAGCTCTTATATTGGGGTGCCACGGATAAGCTCTTATATTGGGGTGTAACGGGTAAGCTGTTATATTTGGGGTGCCACGGGTAAGCTCTTATATTGGGGTGTCACGTTTAAGCTCTTATATTGGGGTGCCACGGGTAAGCTCTTATATTGGGGTGTCACGGGTAAGATTTTTTATATTGGGTGAGTCTCTGGTAAGCTCTTATATTGGGGTGTCATGGGTAAGCTCTTATATTTGGGGCGTCACGGGTAAGCTCTTATTTTGGGAGTGCCACGGGTAAGGTCTTTTATTGGGGTGTCACGGGGAAGTTCTTATATTGGGGTGTAATTGGCCATCTCTTGCATTGGAGGAGTCACGGGTAAGCTCTTATATTGGGAGTGTCACGAGTAAGCTCTTATAGTTGGGTGCCACGGGTAAGCTCTTATATTGGGGTGTCATGGGTAAGATTTTTTATATTGGGTGAGTCTCTGGTAAGCTCTTATATTGGGGTGTCACGGGTAAGATTTTTTATATTGGGTGAGTCTCTGGTAAGCTCTTATATTGGGGGAGTCACGGGTAAGCTCTTATTTTGGGAGTGTCACGAGTAAGCTCTTATAGTTGGGTGCCACGGGTAAGCTCTTATATTGGGGTTTCACGGGTAAGCTCTCATATTCGGGTGCCACGGGTAAGCTCTTATATTGGGGTGTAACGGGTAAGCTTTTATATTTGGGGTGCCACGGGTAAGCTCTTATATTGGGGTGTCACGTGTAAGCTCTTATATTGGGGTGTAACGGGTAAGCTTTTATATTTGGGGTGCCACGGGTATGCTCTTATATTTGGGATGCAACGGTTAAGCTCTTATATTGGGGGTGCCACGGGTAAGCTATTGTACTGAGGTACCACTGGTCACGCTCTAGCACTTACCGTAAACAGAGTATTAGCATCAGCGTCTTTCAAAGTATTAGAGTAAAATTGAAGAGTAGCGTTCCAAAAAAGTAAAAGTACATCGGAAAGTGTCTTGAGGTTGTCCCTGGAGAAGTCTCCGGCTACTAGTTTTTCTCTCGATCGGTTCACAGCCTCTCCGAGGATATCTTTGGGGATAATGGTCTGGCGATAAGAAAGGATAAGGATTCTCAATATTTTACACCAAAATAAGTCAATGCTTAAATTATTTCATTTTCTAAATATATATTTCGTGGAAGAATCGCAAATTTATATTATCTTTATCACATTATGTTACAACGTTCAATTTGAAGCTTATCAATTCGGCACATAAGGTCTGTGTGAAATGAGATTGACAAACTTTGGAAAAACATCAATCCAAGAAGGCCACCCAGTGCATTTTAGTGGGCGTGAGGACACATGCAAACAAGGAGTTGGCTTCCTCGTCCATAAAAAAACACATTAAGAACAGTATTTTAAGCTATCGACCAGTTTCGAGCCGGCTCATCACTCTTCGTCTAAGGGCAACACCGTTCAGCGTCACCATCGTACAGGCGTATGCACCAAACGTCAGATTATAATGACGAAAGAAGTGGATGACTTTTACCATGAACTCCAGGATTTGCTAAACCAAACCCCCAAGAAAGACGTTCTTGTTGTTCAGGGTGACTGGAATGCCAAAATAGGAGAAGATGCCTATGAAAACTGGAAACGAACACGTGGGCGCCAGTGTAACGAAAATTCAAACGGGAGAAGTCTGAGGCTCTTGGAATTCGCCAGCTTCAACGAACCGAAGCAGGACTTTTTGGCGCTGTCGTTTTGGCACAACCATTTTACCGCAGGACATTTTGGCGCCATTTAAAAATAACATTTTTATTTAACGTAACGTTTATAAACTTTAAATAACTAAGACCATCGGTGAAAGCTCCTTCTACTTCCATGGGCCCACGTTCTGGAACCAGCTCCCCTTCCATATCCGTCATTGTGAAACTTCGTCCACTTTTAAAAAGTCCCTTAAAACCCATCTGTTTAGCTCCGTCTATGACCTGTGATGCACCCTCCTTGCCCTGCCTCATTTTCTGTCTCGGGTTGATCCTGTAGTATAGACCAAAACGTGCCAAAGTGTCCTCGTTTTATAGCCATTTTCATTGTTTCTATATTATAGTAGTTACTATCCTAATGTCTCATTTTTATTTTACTTAGTTTACATGTTTTTAATAATTGTAATGCGCTTAGAGCTTAAGGTAAGCGCTATATAAAAATGTCTAAATAAATAAATAAATAAATATATTTATGAAACTCTACTTAACTTATGATATTAGTCTAGAACACTCTAGCACTTTTATAAATGTGAAGCGCGTGCATGATTAGGCAGGAACGGTAAATAATGGCTTAGGCCATCTGTGCGCCAAAATGACCTGGGCCAAAACGTCACGTCCCGTCAACAAACACATACTGGCCAACACAATGGGTGCAAATAAAATATCCAGGACAACCACATGGCATAGCCCCAATGGGAAACACCACAACCAGATTGACTGCATCATGTTGTAAACACGCTTCCGGTCCAGTATAAACATTGCCAAGACCCGCAGCTTCCCTGGAGCTGACATTGGAAGCGACCACGATCTAGTCATGGGGACATTTAGGCTGCAGTTATAGAGGGTAAACAAACAGGGATTTGCCAGAATCAAATTCGACCATGAAAAGCTGAAGGATCCTAAAGTAGCAGAAGCCTTCCAAGCAATGATAGGAAGAAAAATTGCAGCGCTTAACATCATAGATGCCGACTGTGCAGACATGGACACATTGATTGATATCTTCAACACAGCTGTGACGGACACAGCTCATGACATCCTTGGTAGACATCGATCAACCCAAAAACCATGGGTGACAGCTGACATACTTAATATGTGTGATAAACGGAGGCAGTTAAAGAAAACCAAAATGATAGATAAAGAGGGGGCCAAATAAATATAGGACAGTTAACCAATCCATCAAAAAAAGGTATGAAAAGGGCAAAGAAGAACTGGATTGAAGAGCAAAGCTATGACATTAAAAACTGCTTGAAGAGAAACAATAGCAAAAAAGCTTACCAGTTGGTGAAAGAATTAACCACTGCAAAACAAGGGCGTAGTACTACCATGCAGGTCAAAAGTAGTAAATGTTCGACGAGGAAAATGATATCCTAAAAAGACGGACTCAATATTGCTCAGAGCTTTATAACGAAAATATAAAGATAGCCCTGGAGATCCTTAATGTCCCTTCAGCAACAGACAATGATAACTACCCTATTCTCCGCGCAGAAGTAGAAGCAGCAGTCCAAGCACTTCAAATAGGAAAGGCTGCAGGAGTGGATAATATCCCTGCTGAGTTGATGAAACAAGGAGGAGAAGCAATGATAAGTGCCCTATTCAATATTTGTAACAAAATATGGCTGACAGGGGAATGGCCCAAACCATGGACCCAGTCGCTCATCGTCACCCTCCACAAAAAGGTAACCTACAGCTATGCCAAAACTATCGCACAATTAGCCTAATAAGCCACCCAAGCAAGGTCAAGCTGAATGTCACATTGAATCGACTAAAACCATATGCTGACAGAATCATTGCTGACAAACAGGTGGGCTTCAGGCAAGAATAGGGCACTACTGAGCAGATCCTAAACCTCGAATACTATGTGAGATATATGCTCAACACCAACAAAATCTATACCGAGTCTTTGTGGATTTCAACAAAGCATTCGACAGGATTTGGCATGCTGCCTTATGGGCCACCATGGGGCACTACAACATCAACACAAACCTAACCAGAATGATGTGCAACCTCTTTGATAAGGCCACCAGTGTAGTCTTCTTCAACAACAACATCGGAGAGTGGTTGGAGATCACGGATGGAGACAAGGCTGCATGCTCCCCCCCCACCCTTTTCAGCATCTTCCTAGAAAGAATTATGTCTGATGCTATGGAAGCGCATGACGGGACCTTCAGCATTAGTGGCAAAACAATCACTAACTTACGCTTTGCAGATGACATTGATGGACTTGCTGGGAACGAAGAAGAGCTAGCCAACCTAGTAAAGCACCTTGACATGACTTCATCGTCCTATGGCAGGCAAATAAGTGCCGAAAAAACAAAATTGATGACAAATAACACCACCGGTTTCGCCACTGAAATCAAGGTCTGGGAGGAAAGACTAGAGACTGTAAACAGCTTCAAATACCTAACAGCAATAGTCTCAGAAGAAGGCTCCAAGCCAGTACTGATATCAAGGATTGCACAGACCACAACAGCACTAAAGAGGCTCACGAAAATAAGGAACAACAAAAATATAGCCCCGAGCACCAAAATCAGGCTGTTGCGCTCATTAGTCTTATCCATTTTCCACATATGCCTGCGAATCCTGGACATTATCAGCAGAAAGGGAAAGGAAAATAAATGCGATGGAGATGAGATGTTTCAGAAGCATTCTTGGCATATACTATAGGGACCATATCTCCAATGATCAAGTGAAAGAAATGGTTCGTCAGGGTATTGGGGAGTACGATGACCTACTGGTGACTGTAAAACGCGTAAATTACAATGGTAAGGCCACGTGACAAGGAAACAAGGGCTCGCCAAAGAAATCATGCAGGGCACCACAAGAGGAGGGAGAAGAAGAGGAAGACTAAGAAAAAGATGGGAAGACAACATCAAAGAGTGGACGGGACTGAAACTAGGCGATGCTGTGAGACGTGCAGAAGACAGAGACGAATGGAGGAGGATAGTTCATATGTCATCTGTGGCGCCCCAACGGTCCAAAGACTACGGGACATGATGATGATGATCAATTCGGCAGAAAATTATTTTAACTTGTAAATCTTGAACTGAAAGAAGTAAAAAAGTATCTTTAGTCCCCATTTAAGACCAGAAGAGGATTTTAAAAGACTTTATATAGTTAGGTTTCACAAGCTATAGCTCGCCAAACAATGGAGGTCGCAGTGCGTGAACTTCCCATCTACTAAAGTTACTTGACAACAAATACATTCATGTGACGCACTGTATAAGAATCCAAATAAGTGCCCCCACCCCATAAATTGCGCCCCACACACTTTTTTCCACACACCTGAACAATATCAATATTTTAATGTCACACCCCGTCTATATCGAATATTCATTAGGGGCCCGGGATCCTGACTTTCGGAATTACCGGAATACCAGACCATAATTGATGCTCGGAAAAACCGGGAATGGATTTATGAAAGCTGGGATTTTCGATAATCCCGGGATTTTATTTTCAATTTAAAAAAAAAAAAAGAAGTTTTTCTTAGTTTCCACGTCGTAGTTAAAAGCAAGACAAATGAATGATTTATGAGACGTGCAAATCCCTCACACCATGTCTCTCAAGTTGAAAGCGACCGACGATCTAGATCTATGTACTCTCATTTGTCAAGAATCATGACGTTGTGATTAGTTTTGTTTTTGTTACATCGTGCGCGTGTAGTGTGTAACTGGAGACGAGTCACGGCGTGAAGGCACAGGATTGGTAAGTTAATGTTTTCATATTATTGACAAATAAGTGATTGATTTTCGAGCTATCTTTTCACCGGCTGAATGTCCCAGTTTGTCGGTACCGTACCTAGCCAACTTTTACACGACTGAATGTCCCAGTTTGTCTTTTCCGTACTTAGCCAAACATTTGCATGAAACTTTAAACATTAAAAAAGGTTATCACGTCACAACATTTCGATTGAATTCATAATTTTTTTGTTAATGATTTATTTTCACTTCAGGTTGATAGAAAGAAATGGGGAAACGTGAAAAAATAAACCTACATTTGAAAAGCCTATGAAACTATCGGAAACAAAGACATCAGTTTGACATGATTTCTTGAAAGCTACAGAAAATCTGTCAGCTAAATGTATTAGATGTAACAAGACACTTAAAACATTATGAGGTACAACTTCAGGCCTTCACTCTCATTTAAAATTTGCACATTCCAGTGCCTACTTGGACGTATTTCTAAGGCCAGGTTGTGACCAGATGCGAAAACATATCGTGAATATTCAAAAGCTTGGTCAGATAGCTGATTATCTACGAAAAATGAAATTTAACATCTTGGATCTTAGCATGATGAACTTGAACACACACTGCCGCTTACGAGACAATTAGAAATTGAAATACAAAAGAAACTTTAGGCTCAGGACAGTACTTCCAGACCAACGGATGGAGACATTGATACATTGGTAAAAATAGAAATGGCTTAATTTGAAATTGGCGGTTCAAGAGGAAAATATTTAGAAATTGCATATGATAGCCTAAGGTCTATTCCTCCGACCAGTGTGGAGTCAGAGCGGGTGTTCTCTTCATCAGGTTACTTTTGTAACCATTTGCGGTTAAGTTAAGTGAGAAACATCACATACTTTGTCTTTTTTTACGATTTCATTATTTAAATTTGACAAAAGATTAAAACAACACCAATTATTTCAATGTTTCATTCATAAAACTATTTAAATTAAAAAGTTAAGAATATTATTTTTGTTCGTTCGATTTAAGACTGAAGTTAAACATTTGTGTTATAGTTAAAAGCTTATTCAAAATCAAAATGTGATATTTTGACTGAATGTTTTTAATTTCATTAATAAATCCTCACCTCTAATCTCGAATCTCTACCAAACATTATCTAAATATCGAAAATATCGTAAATACCGGGATTCCGGTATTCGTTAACATCAATATCAAAAATACCATTTTTGGCCAAAGGGATCGGTTTTGCGACCCCTAATATTCATAATACCATATGTGAGACCAATTCGTTACACAAAAGAACGTATCTTGCAACAAATGTGCCTCCGGTGTTTCGTAAAGTTTAAAATAATCTCATTTATCGCATTTGGACATATTTTTGCTCCGAGGGGAGGGGGGGCGTGTGGTAATTGAGTCTCCCCGGGGGATAGTCCCCCCCCCACCGGAGATATAGCTGAAAGAAACCCTGATCTCACTTACATTCAAGTCGACACCACTTAAAATGAATGAATCGCCACACTTGCTAAAGTTCTTGACAAACGGAATTCCCTTCTCAAAAGTCTGAGCCACCTCGTAGATGAGATCACGCCCGACATTGATGGTCTCCAAACTGCAAAATGTGGAATATAAAGTCTATTGAAATCATAGAGTTATAGACAATGCATTTTTAACACGTAGCATCGCGTCGTGGATTTCATGCAATTCTTTTACATGTCTTCGTGGTTCCTTAACCAGATTTTTGAAAATGATACATAGAAGTGTCGCACCTGGATGGATGGCTTCCTTCTACGCCACTGGATTTAATATGTTAGGTGAGACCACGAGTGTTACACAGAGCAGAAGTTACACGTCCGTCCGGGGGACGAGCACATACGTGCTGGTGGCAATTTTAAAACATGTCAGCGGTTCACAGTTAATGCCCCTGTGTGGCTAAGCGAATAGTTGATGCAAGTATACAACCCCAAACTGTAAGGGAATGGTTGATGCAAGTATACAACCTCAACCTCTAAGCCAATGGTTGACGCAAGTATACACCCCAATCTCTAAGCGAATGGTTGATGTAAGTATATAACCCCAAACTCTAAGCCAATGGTTGATTCAAGTATACAACCTCAATCTCTAAGCGAATGGTTGATGTAAGTATATAACCCAAATCTCTAAGCCAATGGTTGATTCAAGTATACAACCCCAATCTCTAAGCGAATGGTTGATGTAAGTATACAACCCTAATCTCTAAGCAAATAGTTGGTGGAAAGGAAAGAGGAGGGAGAGTAAATCCAACGAAAGTGTCTTAAAAAGCTTCCATAAGAGCCATTATTTAGTCATTTCAGTGGGGACAAAAGTTAAAAAGGTTAGATTTTCCAAATAAACCGTTTAAGTTACTGCATTTGTTGGGAAATGCATACTTCTTTTGCCCTCGGATAAATCCTATATTAATTAATATCTGCTGACTTGTGTTAATATTTCTCACGTCCTTTTATTTCCCTTTAGGTACACATCATTAAAACAAAACCTCTTTGAAATAGACATATAAAAGCTCTATAGACTTTTCTGGAAAATAGTATTTTTTCTCATATTTCGTGACCGTAAATTTTAGGAAAACCTACTTCAGTTTTAAATAATTACAAAATGGTAATTATAACTAAAATAATAATAGCTTGTTCCTTGTTTTTTAAAAATAAAACTGTTGTGGGTGGAAACATTAGAAACTATGGATATTCAGATACAACCACAAATAACCTGAATTGTGAAACCCGTGTATGGTCAAGAAAACCGAAATTTCAACTAGCATCTTTTCACGTATTGCAAGGGATCGAATTCTTAGCTGGCCTTGGGCGTCACAATGCCTACTCTCAGTGCTGAAAGATGTCATGAACCCCCTCCCAACAAAAAAAAAAAAAACAAAAAAAAACGCATGCCATGTCACCCACACTCCGTACGGATAAAATTACGCGCAAGAAACTTGTCAAGACGCATGGTCCAACCAGGGTCATAATACGGCTCATTACATAACTTGACTAGTAGGCTATAGACAGGCGCGCCGAGGAAAAGCGGCGCCGGGGGCGGACTAGGAAGACTTGTAAGCGCCCCTGTCTATTTGAAATTAATGGTATTTTATAATTTAATTCCCTGTTAAGGGCCTAATTAAGGACGATTTTGGCGCCCCCTCCTGATTTTGCCGCAAAGGGTGATTTGCCCTCACGTACCTTCTTTCGCACGCCACTGAGTATATAAAGGGAGAGGGGGCCCTCGGTGCATTACTAGCCTTGCACAGAGCCTCCGATGCTGTAAAGATAGCCCAGCATTTTTAGATTGTAATCGTCACTTTACCTTCTAGCCCCAACCCATGTTTTGATTTCGATGCCAAAAGCCTCACCTTCTCTCGAAATCCTCCACAAGCAAGATGACCAAATTGTATCGGAGTTTTCCCACGGGGGGCATTGATGATACTTTGTACATTGTGGAGATGCCGAAATATGTGTATTCATATGCTAATCGCTCTTTCCAAAATAAAGAATAGTTGGGAATATATAAGATATATATCTTTATATTACCATAATGTGGGGATTAAAAAAAAACATGAATTGAACACCTATAAAAAACTTACATAAAGACATGGATTGGATAACTACAGACAGCATAATTAAATATATCAGTAGGAAAACTAAAGACAGTCTAGATAAAAACATCAATAGGACAACTACAGACACCCTAGATAGAGACATCAATAGGACAACAAAAGACGGTCTAGATAAAAACATCAATAGAATAACTATAGACGACCTAGAAAAAGACATCAATAGGACAACTAAAGACAGTCTAGATAGACATCAATAGGACAACAACATACAACCTAGATAAAACATTAATAGGATAACGTACAACAACATACAACCTAGATAAAACATCAATAGGATAACTACAGACAACCTAGATAGAGACATCAATGGGACAACTACAGACAACCTAGATAGAGACATCAATAGGATAACTACAGACAACCTAGATAGAGACATCAATAGGACAACCACAGACAACCTAGATAGAGACATCAATAGGATACCTTCAGACAACCTAGATAGAGACATCAATAGGACAACTACAGACAACCTAGATAGAGACATCAATAGGACAACTAAAGACAGTCTAGATAGACATCAATAGGACAACAACATATAACCTAGTTAAAAACATCAATAGGATAACTACAGACAACCTAGATAGAGACATCAATAGGATACCTTCAGACAACCTAGATAGAGACATCAATAGGACAACTACAGACAACCTAGATAGAGACATCAATAGGACAACTAAAGACAGTCTAGATAGACATCAATAGGACTACAACATATAACCTAGTTAAAAACATCAATAGGATAACTACAGACAACCTAGATAGAGACATCAATAGGACAACTACAGAGAACCTAGATAGAGACATCAATAGGACAACTAAAGACAGTCTAGATAGACATCAATAGGACTACAACATATAACCTAGTTAAAAACATCAATAGGATAACTACAGACAACCTAGATAGAGACATCAATAGGCCAACTACAGACAACCTAGATAGAGACATCAATAGGATAACTACAGACAACCTAGATAGAGACATCAATAGGACAACTACAGACAACCTAGATAGAGACATCAATAGAATGTCATTGTGTCTTAAGTAAGATTGGTGGCACTGGAAGACTGTCGGTGGGATAGCAAATGTCTTAACGTTATACGTGTGGACTGTTGTAGAGAATATGCCTTAGCGGACAATCTTTTGGGTAATTATTATTGAGAATCATGAATTAAAATAACGATCATCACGTGGCGATGGATTTTAGCTCGCCCGGGGGTGGGTCTTGAGTTAGCCACCCCTCTTACCCGGAATACTAAATATACAATGCATAAGAACATTGATGTGAGGGGCACTCGGGGCAGATAGAGAAATGTCACGGGCACTTGGGGCAGATAAAATGGTGAGGGGCACTCGGGGCAGATAGAGAAATGTCACGGGCACTTGTGACAGATAAAGTGGTGAGGGGCACACGTGGCAGATAGAGAAATGTCACGGGCACTTGTGCCAGATACAATGGTGAGGGGCACTCGGGGCAGATAGAGAAATGTCACGGGCACTTGGGGCAGATAGAGAAATGTCATGGGCACTTGTGACAGATAAAATGGTGAGGGGCACTCGGGGCAGATAGAGAAATGTCACGGGCACTTGGGGCAGATAAAATGGTGAGGGGCACTCGGGGAAGATTGTGGAAAGTGATGGGCACACGAGAAAGAAAGAGGAAAGTGAGGGGCACTTAGCACATAGAGGAAAACGAGGGGCACTAGAGGGCATGTACAGGAAAGTAAGGGGCAATTATGCCAGGTATAATAAAACTAGGTGTTTTGGGGAAGATAGAGAAAAGTTAGGGGCACTCGGGGCAGATAGAGCAAAGGGTGGGGCACTTCTGACAGACAGAAGAATGTCAGGGGCACTCGGGGCAGATAGAGGAACGTGAAGGTCACTAGAGGGTATAGAGTGGAAATTGGGGGGCACTCGGTGCAGATAGAGGAATGCGAGGTGCACTCGGGGCAGATAGAAAAAGTGAGGGACACTCGGGGCACATAGACAAAAGTAAGGGGGTAAACGAGAAAGATTCACAAACTCTAAAATTACTTAAAATTAGACTTTTGTAATGAGCACCAACCTCCCCCCCCCCCCAAATCTATATGAAGAGTTCAAGGGAAAAAACCAGTGTTGTCAGCTTTCGAGAGTGTGGAGGAAAGTTGATAATAACGTGTGAAAATTACTCATGGAAGTTTAAAGATGTCAAAATGTCTAAATATTTATTTATTGACTAAGCTGCTTTTTCAGTTGGACCTATGTGTCATAGTGCTCTATTGAATGGAACGTACCCACACGGGAGATAACTTGCTAATTTCGAAAAAAATGACAGAACTGGTTTTGTGAAGAAAGATGGAGAAGATGGATCCAATAATGGGGGCCCAAAAACTCAAAAATATTTTCTAGCCAACAGATGACGCCTGGCGATGTGCCACCACACTGTCGATGTGACACCACACTGTCGATGTGACACCACACTGTCGATGTGACACCACACTGTCGATGTGACACCACACTGTCGATGTGACACCACACTGTCGATGTGACACCACACTGTCGATGTAACACCACACTGTCGATGTGACACCACACTGTCGATGTGACACCACACTGTCGATGTGACACCACACTGTCGATGTGACACCACACTGTCGATGTGCGAGTTCTTTCTGTCCGATGCTCTCGCCGACTATACAGATGGCTCCCGGCTCTCAGATTATACATATATCTACCGGCTCTCATACTGTACAAATGGCTACCGGCTCTCAGACTATACCAATAGCTTCCGGCGGTGAGCCTGTATAAATAGCTTCCAGCTCCCAGACTGTACAGATGGCTCCACTCTCAGACTGCACATCACAGTTACCGGCTCTCACACTGTACAGCAAGCTCCCACAAAATGCCAACAGGTCCCCCCTTTAGACCAACGGCACAAGTTAAGTCTGAGACAGGCCACCATGATGGATGTTCTTTGCAGCGATACACGTCTAA